TACAGGGTGAGAATTTATTTTGAAGTTTCTGGTAAACTAAAAAGAATACAGATTATTAAAATGATTGAATTAAACTATGTATATGGTGCTAATAAACTGCTATTAAACTTTTAATGAACTTTAGTTCACCATTAAATCTGTGATGAACCAGATTCTACGAAAACATCTATATTTAAAATTTTAGAGGTTTTCTTCATCATTTGATGTATTTACACTCATTGTGTCTACTTTTATTGTTCAATTTAGATATGTGGTTTTGTTTCTTGTTCACATATATATTTTTTTAGCTTTGATTTAAAGTTTAATTCTTGTTTTGTGATTTGTAAATCTGTGGGTTAGAATAAAGTTTAACTAAAGACTGTTGCTCTTCTTTAAACATATTTGAGGGAAATATTCCTGAGATCCAATAATTTTGTGTATTTTTATGATTTTTCAGCTGAGTTAACTTTAACAGATTTAATTGTCATTAAAATGAAAACAGGATTTCATGATAAAGCCGATTTTAAAAAAAATAATTTTTTTTTTATTTTATTTTTTTACTACATAACATGTTTTTAAAAATTGTTTCCACCCTCCTTGCGCCAGACCCATCCCGGTTCACCCGTCTGCCGAGATTGGGGTTTAGCCTTCATGAGCACGCAAGGCCGGGGTCCAGGCAACGGCCTTCTGCATGTCAGCAGCTCGTATGATCCTCTGCAGTGACCCATGGAGCCGGGGAGATGACGCCCTGCACGGCCTGAGGGGGCTCCGAGGCTCCAGTGGAGAGGAACGGGAGGACTGGCGGTGCTCCATTTAGCTCGCTCTGAATTTTGACGTCAGCCACCAAGCACAAAAAACACCTGCACTTCAACATTAGACCATGGCGTTGTCATTATTGTTTTAAAAATCTTTAAAATAGGTCCAGTCACTCCGCGAGTTCCGAGAAATTGCAGTTGGCGGATCGGGTGTTCTGAAAAGTTTCTTAAAGAGCCAGTGACTCCGCCCTGGCCAATCAGTGACTGACGGTGTTCTGACATCACTTTGGTACCTACTCGGCCCGACTGGTACCACAGAGAAAAGGGTTCTGAAAAAAGAGTCCGATTCTACATACCGTTACTAATGGAAAAGCCTTGGAACTGTGCTGAGTTGAGTCGAATCGTGCTGTACCATTACTAATGGAAAAGGGGTAAGAGTCTCCGGCTGTGGACGAACCATGGGTTTTCCACAAGATGAGATCTGATCAGACCCACCTGATGGTCTTCTGCTGGACTTGACCCGGATCTCTTTAGTCCTCAGAAGAAGACACACTTAATCAAAGGCCAACCATTCTTCTCTCTTCAGAGTTTATTTGCTCAGGGCAGTACAGTGGCGCAGTTGGTAGAGCTGCTTTCTCTCAGCGAGCAGGTCGTCCCAGTTCAAACCTCGGTCCAGGGGTCTTTCTGGGTGGAGTTTGCATGTTCTCTCCACGCTGCGTGGGTTTTCTCCGGGTGCTCCGGTTTCCTCCCACAGACTAAAAACATGCATGTTAGACTGATTGGTAACTCTAAATTGTCCCTAGGTGAGAGAGAGTGAATGGTTGGTTGTCTATGTGTCCGTGTAATGGACTGGACACCTGTCCAGGTGTCCCCCGCCTCTCGCACAGTGATGGCTGGACATGGGCACCAGTGACCCCCATGACCCGAAAAGGAAGAAGTGTGTAAAGATGATGGCTGGATGATGTATGGATGGTTGGATAATGGTTGGATGATGGATGGATGGATGGATGGATGGATGGATGGATGATGGAAGGATATGGATGGATGGATGGATGGATATCAATGGATGATGTATGAATGATGGGTAGATATGGATGGTGATGGGTGATGGATGAATGATGGTTGGTTGATGGTTGAATGATGGATGGATGGATGGATGTTGATTGATGATGGTTGGTTGATGGATGATGGTTGGATACATGGATGATGGTTGGTTGATGAAAGATGGATGATAATGGATGGATGAAGGATGGGTGATGGATAAAGATGGATGGATGATGGATA